GGTCATCATAGAGTGGCAAGTCCTCAAACAGAAAGGCCCAAAGTCATAGACTGACATGTTTGGGCAAAATAGTTCAATTTGTGTCAATGTCCAGGAAAAACAGGACCAGGAATAGAATACCACATCACAAATCACATGAAACGCAGCTTGCTTTAGTGGGCTAAGCTTCAGAGCGCCGAATGAAGCGCCAACAATGGTTCACATCATGGTCAGCTTCTTTTCCACGTGGAGCTGGAACAAGCCCACCAACATTCACACCATACTGCTCATAGTACTTCTTGTAGTCCAGGGATCCAGACATCAGCTCCACCTTGAGAATTCGGTTTCTAACCGGCCGGACATTCTCCTGGATGATGCGCACAAAGTCCTGGGCAACCCAACCCAAGGCCAAAGAGAAGAGATGGCTTACAGCCCTAAGGGAGAGATGGTTCAGAACCCCACACTTGCAAGCAGACTTGCTTTCAGCGGGCCTTGGGGTTCATGGGGCACAAAGCTCCTGAAAAAAGCAAATGTTTCAAGATGGCAGTTTAAAGTTGGCATTTAAGTCATCAAACAGTACCGGAATTCAAACCCAGTCCTCCGGCGCTTGAATCACCTGCTGTGATGTAAAGGATCCAGCCACTGTTCCCAGTCGCTGGTCTAGGGGGCCATGCGTGTGCCCCACTTCTCCAAATATGTGGGTAACACTCCGAAACCTAGCTTGCGTTGTTGGCCCAAGTAAAAAGAGCCAGGTGATATTTTCACCAAAGTGTTATTACACCAAAGAAAATAACACCTTCCACACACTAGATTTGAAAAACAAGAGGTCGCACATACAAATGCCAAATTCATGCACAGGGCTGTTGCACTGATCTTGGCAAGCTGCTGGTTCTTGCCCTCCCTGACACAATTGTCAGTCTGACAGGGTTCAAGACAAAGGAACAACATTAAATTCAAGCAGCAGCCAGGGATAAATCAGATTGTCTCAGGATTTCAAAGCTTTTTCTCCAACACCCCTCCTCAACCACTAGGTGTTCTGGCATTGGCAAACCTCGAGAGTCCAGCTCAGCCTCAACCCAGTCCAAGCACTTCATGAGAACAGTCGCCTCCGCATTCGAATCTTTGGCCATGTCCGGCTCCAACAGCAAGTAGCCTTCTAGGACCTCATTCAGTGGGAGGATCTTTCCAACCCCAAACTCAAAGACCCACAGGGACCCTTAAGCAAAGTCCACAATAAAACTTGACACATTGCTAAAATGATCAAGGAACCCCCCATGCAATGCAGCCAACACAATGCATCTGCGGTCACCACAAAGAGGCCAGATTTTTCGCATTAAGTTCCTTGGGTACTTTGTCTTCGACTGATCTAAGCCATCAATGTCCACCTTGAGCACCGATGCACAGCCTGTTTGTTTAGATTCTGACAGCACATTGAGGCGCCCTTGGATCAACCTGTATTGTTTGACGTTGCGGATGTGAGCACCCTGCTTTCCTTCCAGCTCAGCCTTCTCAGCCTCATTGTTGGCTGCCCGGCAGCGCGCTGAAAATTCTGCACAAGTAGCACACCTTTGTAGGGCACTGGGGGCAAACATCAGTAGTGAGGTGAAATGCACAGAGGTTGAGTTGAGGACAAGTGCACCCTGAGGTTTCAGAAATGTTACCAGCCCTCCCACCTGGCATGTGTAGATATCTTCCGCATCTTAAGCACAGCTTTCCATTTGAGCTCATACACATCCCTGAAGGTTCGGCTACTTGCAATCTCAACCGATGGCACCGCTGCCCCTTCACACCACATCTCATAGAGCTGGAAGAAGGACTCAATGGTCATGTGGTTAATGTGTCTGGTTTGAACACCTTGGACACTTTCAAGCTGGTTTCACAAAATTCAATCTTTTAGTTTCATTCCGCTCTCAATAAATGGGGTAAGAAAAGCACAACATACCAGAAGACAAACATCCATGTTCAGGCAGGACACATTCAGCGCCATCAGCAGGGGAGATAAGCCCACAAGCAGCAGGCAGGTTCCCCTTGGCAAACACAGCCTCGCTGAAAGCCTCGCTGCCACCAAGGAAGGTTGAAGGCAGCTCAGACGGCGCATCACCTGCCGGAGGCAAGTTGGCATAGCGGTAGCAGGGAAATCAAACACTAGCAGCAAAGCTAATAGTTTCAGAACAACACAATACAAGTAGCCAAGTTAACCTTGCAAATCAACCACTAAGCCACCTGGGAGGAAGATGCCACTCATAGTCAGGGCAGCACCATCTAATGACTCCATGGACGGCGTCTCCGCAAGGGTTTCTGCCTTGGGTGCATCACATCATTGAAGATAAGCTTCTATAAGAGGGCAAGCTGGACACATAGCAGGCCCACCCACCCCACAAACATTTAATTTGCTAAATATAAACATGTAAAATATGTGATATGCAAAGTGTCTAAGTTCCAATAGAAGTAGTTCATGAAGGCATCCACACTGGAAGACTTCACCGGCTGCTTGCCATTGTACTTCCTCATGTCTTGCAGCGCTTGGTTGTTCTCAAGTCCCGGCAGCAGCCGAAAGACCTGATGGCTTATGGTACCAAGACACTAAACCAGACAGCTACAGGCTACAGAGGAAGAACAAGGCAAACGACAGATCTTGTAATGCACAATTGAAAGCTTGCTCATCTCACCAGGAAGCCCTTTTCTCGTTGACACCCAAAAGGGCACAGAACGCAGCCAGCAAAACTGGAAACCGGCAAAGCATGTAGTCCAGCACAACCGCCTTTCCACCAGCAGGTTGCTCAGGGGGTTCCTGAGCTGGACATCAAGCACCTGCCAAACCTTTAGCAACAGGTCCATTTAGATTTAATTGCCCCAGTCAACCCAACGCAAACACTTGCCCGAATTGATGCTTGAGATGTTGGTCTCAACTCATGATTTGCTGCTTGGTGGATTCTTGGCAGGACGTTTGTCCCAACTCAATCAGCATTGCAGCAGTTGCACCCATCAGCTACATGCCGGGTGTTTCTTTGGTTTTGCACAACATGTCAAGCAGCACGCAAATCCACTTGGGTGAAACTTCTTCAGACATCACATGTGGGACACATAGGCACTCTGTAAATCCCAAACACTGATTATAAGCATCTTTTTTAGAAAAGCACAGGTGATACACAAAACCAGAATCGCAGGCACCAAATCTAATGGTATCATGGGGAGGGCTAACCCAGTCACAGTAGGCAACTTGAGAATCTGAGCATAAAACAATGATAATAACAAGCAGCTCACAACACACTGAGTCATTCAAACAGGACACTTCTGGAGAGCCCTTTCGCTGTAGCCGGTTCAGAATGCCCATCAGGAACTGATTCACCTCTTCCTGCGAAAGCACTTTCATCTTGGTCCGAATGTCCTGCAGGTTTTGTCAAACAACTGACTTGCTGTGTTGATCAACCCCAATGAGCTAAGTTCAACAAAAAGGCTTTGTGCCCAAACAGTACTGACTTATGACCCAAAGATCCTCCAGGTTCTCCACCCTGAGTGCATTTGCCCGGAACTCGTGCACGCACAGCTTCTTGCAGCACTTGTAGAGCTTCTCACCCGACCTGGGATATGTTGCTGCTTTAACCATGAATGCAATGACTTCAGCATGGACAAAAAAAACAAAAAGAAGCCTTGTTAAAGCCAGACACATCAAGTCAAGGGACGATGGATCAGGTAACCGTTGCTTGCGAAGAGGGGGCGTTTCAGCTGCATCTGGCACTGCTTGGTGAGTCAACAATAGAAGATCAGGGGCCAACACAATGTCCGGGCCCGCCGAGTCATCCGGGGGCAGCCCCATGGCAGTTCGGGCTAGGCACCAGCAACAAAGTCTTGGTTTGGCTGAGATTCCCAAACACTGTCCAGTCTAGGGTGACAAACTTAAGGCATTAGGTTTCCCTGATCAATGTCAACGTTGTCCCAAATCCATGCTATGCTAAAACCCCATTGTTGAGCCAAGGCAAACCATGCCAAGCTGAGTTCCCAGCACTAGCCACTCCCACACCCAGCACTCAGGCCTGCAAAGGTCCTGCGCACCAGCAACGGGAGCTGCCACAAACCTGGGCAGGCCAGCCACATTCCCTATGACAACTACCAACTACCCACACATTGCCAGACTCATGACTCAGACACCTGGTTGCGTGTGGCCTGGTTGTTGAACATTGACATAAGCTAAACCCTGCAAAGTGACACAGCCATTCTAACTTGCATCCAAGTGACACAGCTGCAAAGACCAGCCAATCACAGGCAGCGCAGCAGCACCTCAACAACAGATTCAGAAGCAGTTCACTTGAAGCTAGCCAACAGCTGGGACCTACTGGTTGAACATTGGACATCACAGGATTGAGCAATGCTTCAAAAGCACAATGGACAACCACAAGCCAGACTCAGGAAGCAGCTCAAGGGAAAATTGTCCAACCATTATGTTTTGACCCTTGAAATGTCCAGGCACATGTTTCACCACCTTTCACTTTCTGGACCTGGATTAATGTGGACAATTGGTTTGCTTTGCTGGGGAAAACGAGCTTGGAATGCAAAGGCACCCTTGGATAACACTTGCCCTCAACACTTGCCCTCAACACTTGCCCTCAACACTTGCCCTCAACACTTGCCCTCAACACTTGCCCTCAACACTTGCCCTCAACACTTGGCATTTGTGGCTGGAAAACGCAGGCAAGGCGCAGCGCAAGCTGCCACAGCCACAGCGGGCAGCTGCTGCAGCTGCTGCCACCGCAGGCCCACCAGGGCCCACCCACCAGGGCCCCACACAGCCCCACCCAGCCCATAGGATGCCCCTCACACCTCCCTTCTGACCATTCTGCTATTTTGCACATCCCCCCAAATCAACCATGAAAGAATTCATCACCCCAAATCAATGAAAATATCCCCACAATCAATCGCAAAAGTTTTTAAATCAGAGCTTGGCAATTTCAAGCTTGTAATCGAAACGGCACCAAGGTCCAACACAGGGCCATTTGTTTTTACAACGTCACTTCGTGTCTGAGGCTGCTGCTGCTGGATGCCCTCCGGCAATTGCGGTGATTGCGCCAGCGCTGGGGTTCCAACCAGATGTTTGCCGGTGGCTTTGAAGCATCACCCTGGGCGACTGTTTTTAGGTAGCTTCCTGTAGTCCCTCCAAATGGATAGCTTAGACTTGCTTGTGGAAAGGCCAAGTTTCGGTGTGAGTTTTCTTGCTGGGTTCACGTGAGGTTCCCAAACCTGTTGGTAAGTTCTGAGGCCAGGTCCCTTGTTCAAACGGAGCTTAAGGGTTGCTTGGCAATATCCTTGGTTTGGGTTCGGTTCAAGGGGGTTCGTCAATTGCAGATGTCCCAACTCGAGAATTTTCGGTACCCAGGTACCCTTAGGGTTGGGGAACCCCGTTGGGGTCGGCAACGCAAGGATTGCCGGCCGGAGCGAACCCCGCAAGTCTGAAGCGAGGTCGGCAAGCGGTTTACGTAGAAACGGCGATGAGATGGGCAGGCTATGACGTGAACAGTTGGGCGCCGTGCTGGTGGTGAGTGACACCATGTTCTGTTCTATGCGTTTGAGGATTTCGTTAGCTGATGCAAGGTACCATGTTGGAGTTTGCTGATTCTGCACACACTCAAGGTGTGTTTTATCAGCCGATGACACTTCGCTTAGTGGTTCTTGGGGCAACAGGATAATCTCTAGTGAACTTCTGCAGATCGCGCAGTGCATTGGTACTGCTTGGAAACGGGCGGCGTGTTTGCTGCCGCACACATATTGGCGACGCCCATGCAGGGCAAGAGGATGCCTGGTGTCAGGATGCGAGCAAGCACGATCAGGTGCCTGTATCCCCAGCTGATTGTTTCTTTGGCCGGACTGGTAGTCATTCTGTGACCTTTTGGACCAATCTTCTATGGAAAGGCTTGCACACCAAGTGTCTTCCAGAAATTCTGCCCATTTGGGCTGCGGATCGAGCGAAGGAATTATTTCAGCCGCCGCACTCATGTCCAGCAAGTGACTTGCTGTACGTTCTCCTCCCGAGCTGCTTTGAACAGCTTCATCTCATATCTTCCTAAGTAGCTGAGTGACTAAGAGCCCTTGGTAGCCGATGAACCAAACGCAGTGTCACCAGATGCAAACAAACAATGAGGTATATGTGTTTCAACGGAACCTTTTCTGCTAGAAATGTCGTCGGGCATTCATACGTTGCCTTTTGTGCTAGCGCACGACGTGTGGGTACCAAGCTGAAGGCTTTTCGTCACTTTCAGGTTCGGGCCACAAGCGGCCCGTTTCACCATGTCCTTTTACGCGACTTCCGGATCTGCAAGGTCGGCAGCCATGAAACTCACAATGGCAAATTGCAATCTGGCAAACATCTATGGTGATGATCCCTTACTTGGAGATTCTTGATATTGTTGGTTCTCAGAAGGGAATGAGGAAATGACCCCTAGAAAAACCATGGTTTCCTTTAGCGGGTTCATCACACCCAGAAGGTCATTCCCGCCCATAAAATTGACTTCCAAGAAAGGGTCCAAGTAGAATCTATCCCCTCCCGTCCGTGAAACCTGCCTGGGGAGGGATCGGAGTGGAAGAAATCCAGGGGCTTGCTTCGTTTGGTGGAGTCGTGCGGTGGGTTTTCGGTTTGACTTGGCAACTTTGGACCCTGGAAGACTTTTGGGGAGTTGGTTTAACGTGGAGTCGTTTGGAAGGCCATCCGGAGTCTTCCCTTTGGAAAGGGTTGAACGGGGATCTCCCATCCCCAATTCTGAGTCCTCTACACCTAGCCATAAGGAATGGGGATGTGGGGGGAGTTTGCAAGCACCAAGTAAAGTCAGATTAGACAATCATGTGCGACTAGTTTATCAGTTCAGCCCCTTTCATACAGATCACGCCTGATTTAGCCGATAACTTAAGCCCTCATATAGCCCCGTCGATTCTTGGGGTGGGACCCATTGGTGGACATCATGAAGATTGGAGTCTTGGCAGCCGAACACTGCGGTGCTCAAACTCCGAGGCGCTTTAAGATTTTGTTTCCAGACGGCGTCGGGGTCAACCAGACGAATCTCAGGGATTGGCAGCTCAAAGAGGAGTGTATGCAACAAAGTAGGCGGCGTGTTTCTTGTTTTTTTCCCTCATCATTTCGGACCCCTGACTTTAGGACTAATAAGTGTCCCTGAGTGTCGGCTTGCCACTGAATTTTGTCCTAATCCAAGCACTTCGAGCGTTGGGAGTTGTCCCTGTTCGTGCAGTTGACAAGTTTTGATCTCAGGCCCTTCGAGCCTCACCAATTCGATGAACGCAGACTCGTGTTGGGAAATGGTCCATATCTAACTTACTGAGTTCATGAAGACTTTTTGGGAAGACCATTCTAGTGGAAAACGTAAAGTTTGGACTTTTTTGGGGCCATCCACTCAGCCGGTGAGATATGGAGCGAATCTTGAAATGCAAGTTGATTTCAACACCTGGTCCGTTAATCCTATTGAGAGGTCCGTTAATTCTATTGAGAACTGCGTTTGGTTTCGGACCCCACAGAAATTTGTGCCTAGATGGCATCGCAATAATTAATGTTTCTGTCGCCGTCAGAAACGCCGAGATGCACGTTGTGCCTGCAAATTTGGTTGCATCAGACTGCGGTGCTTATGTTCAGGATTGTCCGCAATGTTCAGCAATGTTCAGCAACCTAAGTAGGTCGCCCTCCGTTCCACTAAAATAACACCTGACGGGGGGTGCTTTAAGAGGAAACTGATCTTCCAGGTACCCTTACAGAGGTGGGATTTGTTTGTGAGGGGAAGGGAACCCTACGAAAACAAGTTACAACCTCGGTTTGCAAGATCAGGATGATCGCTCTACGAGGCAGTCCTCCCAAATTGTGGTCGCGGCCTGGAAATGATTGATCCCCTTTAACGAATAGGTTCTAGCACCCGTTGATTCGAACCCGTTTGGGGTCCCCTGATTTGCCCCCCCTAACACAAGACACGTCTGCAAAACTGGGTCCGGGTGCAGCTCTGCCTTTCAGGCTTGTTTGACCCTACTAAAATAAACTACAGAAAAAGTTGTTTCCCCTATTCTACCCTCTCTACTGGAGGACCTAGTTTGAGAGCCCAGCATTCGCCGGCGCATTCAACATTCGTATTTGCCGGGGTCATCCCCCTCAAATTTGGCCCCTGGGGATGGGTATTGGTGTTAGTTGTTTGGGTCCTGGGCCCGTCTCAGCTTGACTTAAACGGAACCCACAGATCAACTATCCAGAGGGTCCACAACCCTAGACACCATGAATTTGGATGTTTGACGCTTTCTTAGGGTTTTCTAGTTTTGGATTCCTCCATTCGCGAAAGCCACGCGGGATTTTTGTGGAAACAACTCGGAGCATTGATTCAACTCCGCCAAAACTCCAGTCACAACAAGTTCCTTAGCTTGGGTGACGCGCCTTTGCTACAGGGACCCTCCTCTTTGGTTGGTTTTAATGGACCAGCCAAGACGAAAACTCCGCATTTTAAGCCGGGCTCCCCCCCAAAAAAAAAGTCGTCGCACCCAAAGTTGGGCTCTAAATGGGCTCCCAGGAGCCGGATGCTGGCATGAAATTTTCCGGAGCCGGGTGGTATTTGAACCCGAACGGGGAACCAGGCCCCCAGTGTTGTATGGCCCCAAATCCTATGGGCCATTGGCCCTTGGACTCGTAGTGGGCAAGATATGGAAAGCCGAGTTTGCTTTGGGAGGCGGGCCCATCTGGTCAACCAAAACATGGGCGTGAGAGACAGCCCCGGTCGCTGCCCACAGCTTCCCGGCGCCAAACGATAAACAAAGCGTGTGAAAGCCGAAGATGAAGTGTTCGAAGCAAGAGGAAAGCAAGTGTCTACCTCTCAAACTAGCCATATTAAGAAAAAGGAGGAGGAAAAAAAAAGGGGTATTGCCCCAAAAACAATGGTTGCTCTTCCGGCAATTGGTGCCCTTTCTCGCCCGTTGCTTCTTTGGGTTGGGAGGGTTCCCATGCTAAAATAGACAAAACCGGGGAGAAAAAAAGAGTACCTACCATTTTTTGCTTGGGAGAGTTCCCCTAAAATCGACAAGACCTAAAAGAAGTGGGTACCGACGTATTCTAACCCTCTCAAATCTGGAGGACCTAGTTCTATTTTTCGTCGCATTCCGTCGGGTTCACACGTGCCGAGCCAAGGGACCCACTCACTCCGTGTAGTTCAGCATGAATAACCGGAGTCTCCTCCAAAATGTATAGGTTAGGGGACATGGAGTAAATAAAACAGAATCAGAAGACCATGTTTTGGAGCACCCCAGGGACTTTATACTTTCTTGGGACGAAGAGTTTAGCGGCAGAACCAGGTTTTGTACGTGTTTAAGGCGAATCCACTTAAGAATTGAGTACGACGTTTGCTTTTAGCTTGTCTTGAGTTTCCTTTTGAGTTTTGTTTCGTTTTTTTCGAAGCCAAGCAAACTAAGCAGGCTTACCTTAAAGTGGGTGCGTGGTAGTTCATTTTTTCAAGGGTACCCATTTTGGGGGTACTACAATCAGGTAACCCTTCATTTTGGGGGTACTACAATCAGGTAACCCTTCATTGGTTTGTCTGTCTTGAGGCTGGATGGGAAGCCTGCTCAAGGGAAAGCAAAGACACACACCAAAAAAGGGAAAGTTATGGCTCAGACCTTGGAACCTGGCCCTCTGGCCCGGACCGAAGATTCCTCCGAATCGGACCGAAGGCACCGGTTTTGTGTTTGGCCCCTTGGCGGGAGCCGGTTCTGAACATCCCAATATACACTCCATGTATGTAATACTTACCCACATTGACGTAGCCTCCAAATTGGTCAAAAGTTGGTAAATATGTCCTGCATGGATTGTGCGGGAACATATATTTGTTTTTGCGGCTCTGTACGCCGGATTTGGACCAACATGTGGTCAACCGCTTGACTGAAGTAAAGCACTCATGTCACACCGAGGGTTTCGATTGGCTGTTCCTCGCACATTTTTGCTTATTGTGGTTAGTGGTTGAAATCCAACCACTTAACTGGTAAAAATTGAAAATTGTTGCTCCCCTTCCAACGTCAGCCAATTCAAGCTCACCCTT